CGGCGGCGGCGAGTCGGCACCGTCGAGCGAGGAGAGGATGAAGATAATGAATACCTATGCATGCACACACCAAGGTGGGACAAGTTTCACGGCATCGCATCGGGATCGGGCAGATCGGCCCATGAAGGAGGACACGGCCGTTTCGGTGTGTTCGAAGAGCGGCGCCGCCACTGCCGAGGCAGATGTTCCCGCCGTTGCGTTGCGGAGATCATTGTCCGTTCTTCTTCTCTTCGCTCCGCTCCGAGGCTCCTTTCTTTGCCGCCGAACGATGTACCTCACCAAATTTGGCTTTACCCTTCACGTCGCGTGTCCGTGCTCGCGGCGCCTGCTTTCAGGATACTGAACCACCGATGAAATATTTCACTTTCTTACTTCAACAACTTTAAAGCTATGAATTCAGATCGAGCAACATTTTTACTATACATATTTATACATGTAAAAAATTATAGATCTATTTAATTCGATTTGTGTATCCTTGTGCATCTTTTTTATTACATTCAAATTATCTCCATCTTGACAATTATTATTCATGTAGTAATTTTATACGTAATACAGTGTCGACAAAAACTTTAAATTTAAAATGAATGTATAATCTGCATTTGTTCCAATGTGTTCTGAAATCCGCACTGCTGTTTTTTTTTTTTTTTTTTTTTACGATACACCTTTCCTACTGAATTGATACAAATCGGGTTTATTGCATATATCAGCTGCAAGCGTCATTAATATTAACGAGTTACTCCTCGTATAGAAACAAGTAGGCCTGCAAGGTGATCTACTATTTTCTTTTTTGCATTTTCTGCAAAAAAAATCTACAAAATGCATTTTCTGCAAAAAAAAATCTACGAAAGAATTACTTTTTACTCAATATTTACTATTCATCGTTTTTTATATTGTTTTAAATTTTGATTTCTTATAATCAGTATAATTCACTAAATCAGTATTCACCCAACTGAATTTCTTAATCCTACTATCTCTTTTTTTCTACTCATCCATGCGAAGTGATGCTGCACGTTTCTATATATCTCATCACGTTCTCCATCTCGTGTGACACTTGCCCGGCCACCCTCCAACCACCATATGACCGCACAAAGAGGTAACAAGTGCGCGATATGTACCGAAATAATAATCGAACAATACTCTAGTTAACCGGACGGGGCCAACAGGGCCCTTTCCCGAGACGTCTCGGGGGAATACCGGCGAGCTTGGTACAGAAAAAAAAGTCGGGGCGTGAGATCGAGAGAAAGAGAGCGAGAGTACGAAGAGTGCACTTGCATCTGTTACGACTTCGCTGGCTAACAGCGGTGGGTGTAAAACACGCGTGGAGGCGATTTCCGGGAGGGGATGGAGGGGGCTGAGGGGAAAGAAATTATGGGGAACCACCAAGGGATGGGTTTTGGCGCCCCTATCGTCTCGTCCGGGATCGTTCTCGATGCCGACTACGCGGCGCGTGTGAGGTAATAAATATAAAAACTACCCGATAAACCCCAAAGTGAGACTATCCGGGTCGAAAAACGTGATGGTAGAAGAGGGAGGGGAAAAAAATGATAGAAACGGCAGCCGCGAATTTAACTATCCGTGAAAAATTTACTGTCATCTCTTCATTACATATACTTACAGTCTTACAGGATTTTTCCATTACTATTATCCGCAAGGGAGTAATTTTTTCCCGCAAAAATGATAAAAAGGATAGTTTATATTTATAAGGGTGAAAGACTTTATTTAAAAGTTATTCTGCTCACATGTTAAGATAAAATCCGAGATTTTTCGATTATCTAGGCAAACTGGGCATGTGCTTAGAATAGTATTTTTGAGCGTTCCATATAAGTATAATCGAGATAAACAAAGATAGTACTAAAATATATTGTAAATAATGCAAATAATACAAATAATACAAAATAATATAAATAAGGAAATATTCTTCTATTTTGAATTTATATACTATCTAAATTCTTTAGAGTGGAATCTCATTCTAAAAAGTAAAAATTGAGCCTGTCTTAAAAAAGAGTAGCTCAATTTTTAATCTTCAAGAAAATGAGATTTCACTTTTTGGAGTAAGATATTCATTCTAAAAGTTTTAGAGAGTGTGTATATACTTAAAATTATAATTTATATTTATTTATTTCGTTAAGTCCATAAACAATTTCTTCCTTGATTAATATGTGAAAATGTTAGATATTGTGTTTATATATATATATATCACAAATATTTTGTATTCTTTGGGTCTCTTTTTAAATATATATATGTAATAAAAAGAGACTCAAAAAATACAAAATGTTTAACAGAGAAGTGTTTAATTTTACTTCTCCAGTTATTAGAGATTACTGTG